CAGTTGCTTTGTCTGCTTTAGCCAAAAAAGTTTAATAAATATTTTGATATATAGGTGATGTTTTGGATGACTACAATAAATAAAGTTGGTCTTTATTTGATTACATACCAACTTTGATTACATACAAGTAAAACTGCTGACAAAATGCATCAGAAATAACTAAGTGTTTCCCGATGACTGTCTGTCTGTCTGCAGATTAACCCCAGTGAGGTGGAGGCTCTCCTTTCCCGGCTGCCCTGCACCTTCAGGCAGGAGCTAACTGGTGTCGGAGCGAGTCTGGAGAAACGCTGGAACTTCTGCGGCTTTGAAGGCATCAAAAGCACCTAGAATTCTGCAAGGGACACTTGTGGGGCTTGGAGGAGACGACAGGCAGCACAGACTCTGTAGCAATGTGAAGGATACAGCATCTAGCTCACAACTATCAAACACTCAGAACTGAACCCTGACTGTAGAAGGGACACGGAGGACTGATCTCAGATCAAGCGGCGATGTTCCACGAGCACTTCAGGGACCGTGTAGGTGGCAGAGACTTTAAAACATCATCGCTGCTGAGACCGAGCGTCTATGATGGAGTCCTCAGAAGCTTGATCTCCACCGTTTCTGTGCATCTGCAAAATATTTTTAGACATGATGACTCCCTGGGAGTCACAGAGGTTTCTACCGTCACTGGATCATTACGTAGTTTTGCCCACAGGAGCAGAGAGGCAGAGCGTTGAGCTTTTGGAGCCTCCACCTGACTCAGTATGGCGTCGGGTCTACAGGGCTAATCCAGGAGGAGATCAGGGCGTGTCCTCCTTCTCTTCTCTTTTTGCTGTCGCTGGTTTGTAACATAGATCAAAAACGAATATATTTCTTCATTTTCTGTAAAGGCTGTCAGCAGTTGCATAGACTCATTTGTTGTAATACACTGTAAATGCTTGGATGATATTTTTGAATATAAAAGACATTTGAATATAAAGAAAATAATGAGGTGTCTGTATTTTTGTGCGTCTGGCTAACAGGTGGAGGTTTGTGTGAGTGATGAACACTAGACAAGTAGACTCCCTCCGAGTTTGTGCTCATTCTTGCTTGAAGAGCTGCATTTTCTTTTTATTATTTATTTTTGTCATTTCCTTTATCTATCAGGAGCTGCACTCTGAGCTGGGTTTAGAAGCTTACATAAGGGCGTGTGCGTCTTTCAGAAGCCAATTAAGCCAGTCTGTCAGCCTGGCGAAAGGCAGACATTCGCATCACACTTAAGTGGGAAGCACACCTAGGGGATTGTGTTAATGATGTTTAATTGGAGAGGCAGTTGGTGTGCATGTGCTTTCTGGCGCCAAGTGAACACTAAACTGTATTGTTTGTGTACTCTGCCTGGATCCTTATATTAAACAGTTCTACAACTCTTGCATGTAGAGAGCTGAGGACTGGAGGTTCTCCCCTTCCTGGAAAACCCAGCCAAGCATTCTTAATGTCCCGCCGCTGGGCCGTCTGCCGGCACGCTCTCTTCCCCCCACTGCTCTGGGAAACAAAGAAATATTATTATGCACCATTTGCTCTCATTTGTCCTCCTCAGTATCCTGCAGTCACTGAAAGATTACCCCCTATGCAAACTATTCCTGTTCCTGAATTAGTAAGTAGGTTTTTGAAAGGCAATTATTATTTACTAAACATGGAGGCATTTGGACAGGCTATACTGTTAGAGAAAGCTTTTGTAATTAATGAATCTATCATCAACTTCATTGTCTTGTGGGATTATTCATAAATTATTGATGTTTAAAGGACAAGGTGAGCTCAGTTCTCTGATGCATAACAAGATTAATCTCGGTTTAAATCTGGCTGTTCTTTGGAGGCTTCATCGTATTTCTAAGGCCTCTAACCAAAGCAGGTGCTCCTTGGTTAGCTTCATGAAGACCAAAGAGTGCAGCAGTGAGGCAGAGGTGAGACTGAGGAGAAGTTTAAAGCAGAGCTATGTTGTATAACAAAAGCTGCAGATTTCAACATCAGCCCATGTGGGAGAATCTGTGAAAAGGACAAATATTCACGCACCAAAGAAATCTGCCCCTTTTATCGATCAGTAGCAAAACTGCTCTTAGAAGAATACAGTAGAGATTTACTCTGTTGTCCTACGATGGGAAATCCACATCTAAGCAGCCAAGTAAAATGCAAATGGAGGCATGCAGATACTCAGAGGGTGAAAAATATCAAAAACAAAAATAAAACAATAGGAGAATATGCATCCAGAGTAAATAAGTAGTATAAGAAAATCATGTATAGCTGTTAAATCTAGCATAATCCAAAAAGTATACAACTGAGCAGGGTCACAAATAAGAATTATGTGAAACCTAAAATTATATTTAAGATGGTATTAATATTTCTGCATAAAACGAACGACTACGAATTAAAGGCGGTAAAAACAACAGGGTTGAAAACATTTAGTTGTTTTGACAGCTGCTGTAAGGAGGGAACTGTCACTGAATGAACTCTATGGGTCTGTAACAGCTTCATGCATGAGCTGGGAGACTTTTCCTGTTACTGCTAGACGTTCCAGATGCTCAGGTCAGAGGAAAGCATGGAGTTCATTCTATACATCTTTCTGATGGAGCATGTTCTGGGTACTCTGACTCCCTCCTATAGTCCCTGTTTATGAAGGAATGAGTTGATGGTTGTCTCTGTGTCGTTCCTTGATACAGACGCCTGACCAGGTTTCTCCTGCCTCGACTGTTGGAGATGGGAACGAGCTAAACCAGGCAGATCACCTTTACAATTTCAATTCGGGAAATCCCACTGAGATGCTTTAAAGTTTGTGATTATGTGTTTTTATGAGCCATGTTAAAGCTGTTTGTGGTTCCAATGATGTTACTGCAGGAAGTGGAGGTTTCTGTCCACAGTTTTCCTGTTTCTATCTGCTTGACAGAGCACTTGGGATTGTGTGAGATGTTTCCTGTGCATCGCTACGTTGCCTCTCCACGCCGTATGAGTCGAGCTCAGCAGAACATCCCTGATGACCAACTCCAGCAAACCTCTCCCCGACCTCTTCTCTCTCCAAAGGGCTTTACCTTTCTGCTCTCGCTGACGAACAAAGCACCTTTACAGCGTTTGTTTTTCAAAAGCTAATTTTTTTTTTTTTTGTATAGTTTCCTCCCAACTGAGCTGCAGTTCCCACGCGCTGATAGGCTGGAGGTGTTCACAATTTATCTCCTTTACCGCTGTCTATGACGGGAGCATGAAGACACAAACATGCTTGTGATTGGGCTTTAGGTTCTCCTGGATCACACAAGGACGTAAACAAAGACTAATTAAATCCTCAGATGGTCCCCAGTGAGCACCCCTCTCCATTTGCTGTTGCCTCCTTATTACTGTGACAGTGAGGAGCCTTCTAGTTAATTCACTTCAAGGGGTATGTAAGCAAAAGGGGGCAGATCATCTCCCTGCAATGGGGATGCCGAAGGACTGTTTTCCTACTATAGGTGGTATAAGGGGCATAAACTGATGTCCTTAGACATCTGCTGAATTTAAGCTGGAAAAATTCTCAAAATACTTGATTATCTGTTATTAGAGCAAAATTTCTAATGTCGCATTTTCTGATTTTATGAATATAAACTCAAATTTACTTATTGAACTTTGAGGTGATGATTGTGAAATGATGCTTTTCGGCTTCTTAATTTTCCTTTGAGAAAATAACAGTGTTTAGTCTCCCATCTATTCTGACCGGGTTTGCTCTCCCTGCTAAACAGTATTTCCACATGGCCTGATGCATCCTATTGTTCAGGATGATGTTGAATTGTAGCTGTACACACGTAGACCCTGATCTACTAAAGGTTTGTATGATTATAAACAAATGCTAACTTTACAGAGGGCACAAAGCTGATTTCCTCACCTGCTACAGCTAGAATTAAACATTAGCAAAACAGGAGGCGTGGCCCATTCAGCTGTTTGTCATAATGAGTAAATGCAGAACATATGCTGATCAAAAGAAGGTGCAGGATAGTGGGAGGAGGATATGCACCTACAATCAACAGTGTCATTTATCACACCTGAAACAGACAGAAGGCGCAGGTTGTGCTTTTTGCACTTTTAAAAGTGAGGCGCGAATAATTGGTATAAGTACAGACAAGAGAGTTAAATTTCTCATATTTCAATTGATAGAAATGAAAAAAGTCAGGGCTATTTTAAGGTGAAACTCTTTGCAACACAACATTATTTGTGGCAGTGGCATTTTCCACCAGTTTTCCTGGATGGCAGCACCAGATTAATTTTATGCGATTAGGTGGAATGGGACATGTTTAATCAGAATCAGCAGTCCAGGTGGACAAGTAGTTAGCAACAAGTCTGTCTATTGAAAAAAAAAATTATAATAAAGAAATAAAACCTGAGAAGAGAATTCCTGAAATAAGAAACCGAAATAGATTAATGCAAAAACCTTAACTAACCAGAATTTAGCAATGAAAAAAAAAACTCACAAAACCCAACCATAAGATATAAACCAAACCAAATGGGGT